CCCAAGGACAATTTGTTGCTGTATATATACGCTTGAGTTTTTCCCCATATGACTCGCTTGTACTCGGCTGATTTCGGAATATATATTCCTCTACTTTGTCTTGGACTTCTTCATCTAGTTAGCGAGGCCTGGGACAACAGATTAGATTAGCTTATCGTATCATTGACCTTTCGTTCGTTACCGCGAAATCGACTTACTTCAAGCATATCAAAAACACTATTCTACTCAAACAATGGTAATTAAAAATACTATAGCAAATGTTAGAAAGAAATTGAAATATTAAAGACAGAAATAAAATTCAAAAAAGTAATGACTCAAACATGCTCATGACTCCCCAATGTAACTTTTTAAAAAAAACAATCTCTAAGATGATCTCTAAAGTGGACGTAATTGTTATCTATTCAGGTGAGTTCTTAGCTCGTGATGAAAACTACATTTAATATAAAGAAATCATCCTAGTTTCTAATGGTTGTTTAATTAAATCCAATCCATCATGTAAAGTATAAAATAAATATGTTGGTTTTAATAGGAATAATATGTTTGTGAAATCTCAGCGAATGAATTTAAAGTAAATCCAACGTTTTGCCTGGCATTCTGTTCCAAGCTTTTTCAAGGAAATATTTCCTTGTCAGACGAAACGTTGGATTTACTTCAAACTCATTCGCTGAGATTTTACAAATATATTATTCCTAAATTCAATTAGTATCGTTTGTTTGAATCTTCCCATTGATGTTTAGTACTACAACTGTCTAGTCTCTAATTGACATATGTACATACTGTGCGTATTACCTCGATACAACCTTATTTCACAAGCATTGTAAGCAAAGATGGATAGTGGCTAGCAGTGGAATCCAGGACGCGCTTTTCGTCCTATTTCGGACTCATCAGCTGGATGTACCTGCATCTCAGAGTTGATGTTCACTCTGGGACTCGAACCCAGTACCTTTTGCTTCAAACGCTATCACGTTATCCATTCAGCTACTGAATCCTCAACTCTGAGATGCAGGTACATCCAGTTGATAAGTCCCAAATAGGACGAAACGCGCGTCCTGAATTCCGCTGCTAGCCACTATCAATCTTTGTTTACTATATTATTCCTATTTAATGTCTTACATCAACTCGGAACCCCAAATACTGTAAAACTATTTACTCTAATTTAGACCAAAGTTCTTATATAAATATATTGGTTGATTTTGGATATGTTTATGTTCTTTTGAATCCAAATATTTGACAAGAGAATAAACCATGAAATGTTCAATATTTCAGTGACATATCAACTATTTTTTTTACTCTTATACAAACTAGACAGTTTGTAGAATTTTAATTATGACAGTCATAAAATTAATTTATTACAACCCACACAAAATAGAGTGAATTAATAAGGGAATGAAGATTACAATATAAAATTGTTTTATAATGAAATTTGATATGATAGATAAGAATTATTTATGAATTCATAAATTACCATTATTACTATCATTAATATTATGGTAGGATTAAACTATACTGCCGAGCCAATCAGAAGCTTTCGCGGGTTTTCAAGGTCACGGCGCTAAGTTCGGTACCTGATGCTTACGTACGGTCGGTTTACAGCGGATTTTAGGGAAGACGTGATAATAGCGTCTACAATAGAAGTGATCATAAGATTTTGGCGCGAAATTCAATTATCCATTTGGATAAATAGAGTTTTGGCATTATAGCTGATGTCAGTTCGTGATGAAAACGCTAAGTATAATTCCTAGCCTTAATCATGAACTGTAAATCAAAGATGAAAAACATTGAATATTGTGATGACCAATACTCATCAACAAGGTAAATGAAAATAGACCATATCTTTTTTAGTTACATTCATTTTTACTATGATCGATACTGTGAACAACCAACATAAATAGTGTATTTCATTAAATGTGTTAATTTTTCTGAAGTAGCAATGTTACCTTTTCATTTCAACCTAAAGTGTTTAGTAGTCATATATACCATAGTGTTCCCTTAGTCATTCAGTCATTTACAACGTAAAATCTAGCACAGATCTGTATCAATTCAACTTAGTACAATACATTAGCACTTCAGGACAAAACTATAAAGACAGATCCCAGATTGGTAGAAGTGATAATAAGGACAGTGGTGATAGAAAACATTGGTAAGGTGGTGGTCAGGTATATGTTATACATGTACCAACCACCTCATTCGATGAAGATTGGTTACCTCATTTATAGGCTAACCATCCTTTACCTATACCTAACAGAGATTATAGTTGCTAAAACATTTCGTTCATTGATAAGCTATTGTTTATAACTTTATTTTATTCACATTAATTTCTTTACATTCCACTCATCATAATTATAACAAGCTTTATAACCTCTGTCGTGTTATGGCATCACCACTTCAGACACTGGTTGTCTTGGGAGGGCACGTTACTTTTATTATACCTCTACACAGTTGACAGTACAACTTCAACCTCGAACCATAAAATACCACATTCCAACCAACTTACTTAGCATGGTAAGCCCTAAAGAAACAAATGTCCCAGTTATTAAACCTCGATTTTGATATCATATTAGATAAACAAGACAATGGTCTCAAGGTAACAGATAATGTTAGAATGTAAACCTCGAGATTGTGTTTAACTGTTACATCTATTAGATATCCCACTTAGTTTAACATTCACTTATTTATTTATTCATTATCATTGCCTAAATTTTGAATGGTACTAGTTTTCTAATGTATCACATGGTTTTATTAGATCTCATTATGGAATAAATTGTCATCATTGAATATCTCAGTAGCTTATTGTATTTAATGTGTTCCGCTATATTCAGGTGACTGATTTCATTTTGAGAATATTTACATTGAATATATCTGAAAGCAAATAGTTGATAATTGTTATCCATGAATTCCGTTATGTAATACGAACTCATTTAACAGAACTTTCTGTAACGTTTCTACGTACCCTACTTATTCAAGAATAACAGTAATAGTGAATTAAAATGATAATTTAACGAAAACAAAAAAAAATGCTTTTATTAAAATCATACCATCAATACTACTGATTTTGTCATATACTTTTCCAATATTGGTAATTTGTGGTTATTAAATGTCTAGAGTTATCTATTTAAATTATCTTATTAAGAATAGTGTAAAATAAAACCCTAGATAGAATTCTTAAAATACAATTCAATATCCTAAAACTTCAATACTATTTATCCATGTTAATCATATATTGTCAGATAAAGAGTTATTCTTTATTTTAAACTGCGTTTACTAGTACTACACTATCATCAAAAAGTACAAGTATTTATAAAAATTTGTCTACACAAGATACTCAATGTTAGTTGACCGGATACTATCAGCAACAACCCATTATGAGAGAGAATAAGCTAAATTCCAACTGAGGGGGGAATTAGGAAAAGATGTTGGAAGTAGATAGGACTCACATTGAGGAAATCATCAAACTGCATCATGAGGCAGGCAGTGACATGGAATCCTGAAGAGGAACGGAAGAGTGTAAGGTAGAAGAGCACAGTGCACCGAGAATCGGAAGTGGATATTAAAAGAATGAATGACAACTTGGAATAACTGGAAAGGATTGTGTTGTGATGTAGTTAGATGGAGAATGCTGGTGAGAGGCCTTTGCTCTTCCATGAAGGATAACAGACATAAGTAAGTAAGCAAGTTAAGATAGTACTAAAATTTACCCGATAAATACTCGATAAACACTTCAACCAATTTTCCAAGATAAAAATAGTAAGTGGGTATTTTTGTTACTCTTTTATCAATCAGTGATGAAATTATGTCTAGATTCAATGTACTCTCTTAACGGAAAATTTGAAATAATCCAAGATTCAGTCAGGATATTTTAAAAACATATAAATTAACTGCCTCACTCACTTGGGCTCTATAACTTCCCTATTTCGGCTACTAAATTAAGCATCCATACTCTAGTACTGCACGAAATGACTGGTTACAAAGTGCCAACAAGTTGTATTAAATATTCGTCTTACTCTGTGATTAATATTGATTACTGTTTATCCATATTAATAAATGTAGTCATTACTAGATTATCGACGACATGGCTGAACTTAACTTGTCACGTCATTACACTAGAACTCCGACAATCTCTTCTAGAAATTTTTTATTAGAGAGTACATGATTACTTTTAGTGTAAGGGATTAGTGGAGATTGTTAAGTTTACATCAGAACATGAGGTTAGTTAAATAGTCATTAAAAGCTAAGAGGCAGTAGAAAGTTGTTTCAGATCCTGTGTCTAGCGCTCATCCTTATTTCTCATCTACACTTTTGTGAAGTCTCAGTGTCGTCCTAGTGTGGGACTCCACAGCCGTCCAGTACTTCCAAGTTTTCAATTGTGGTCTAGCAATGATCTGTTCATGATCTCAATTAAGACTCAACAATCTTCACAATCCTATACTGATAATTATCATGTGCTCACTAATGACTAGCTTCTAAAGGGAACTCTCAAAGTTCTAGTGAGAAGCCGTTTATATTTCTAACAGTAGGATATTTTTAGGGTCAATTGTGTTTCAATTGCACAATATTTGACAGAAAAGTCAGTACAATACCTAGAAACATCATTTACATTTGATCTATTCATGTTTCACCAGGGAAATATTTTATCAAATTAATTAAATTTAACCAATAGGTAACAGACTAATATCACCAATAAAGTTAAAAATTTATTATAAACCAATCAACTTTAACTTGTATTATGCCAAATATTTTAATTGGTTAATTAAAAACCATATGTTGATGAGTCGATAATATTTATTTTCAGTCCTGTTTACTTAAGATACTTAATAGGAATGATCATTTGGTGAATTACTCTCAACATTTCCCCCCCCCAATAATGATGTAATAATCTATTAAATTTCAATCCAATTTTAAGCTTATGAAAAGAATTGTTGTTTACTATATATGTGGTAAAGTTGAATAAAGGGGATTTAAAACGAACTTTTGAAAAGTATGTATCAATCTAATAACAATAATAATAATAATAATAATAATAATACTTCTCATTATTGTCCAGAATACTCAATGGGAAATTGTTCATTATGTAATCATACAAATTATGGTAATGAATATTTACAATCAGAAAATGATACTAATAGTGATAATTCATTCCAAAATTTGTATAATATGTCAAGTTCTTTATCATATCCATTACTTTGCAGAGAGTTTCATAATACACTAACTACTAATACTAATTCTCAAAATATACCTTCAGTAGATACAATGCAGTCAGATCTATCAACAAATTATGATACTACATTATTAATGAATACAATAAGAGATATTGGATGGCCATATTTTGAAAAATCCACATCTGCTTTTTCTTTATGTTCACATGGAAAATCTAATTTTAGTTCAAGTTATCGTGATTGTCGTCTACGTTATATTAAACAAACAAGAAAACTACAAAAATATCTTCGTGTTACACCTGAAGGGCATATATTAGTGAATAATCCAAAAATTGAACATCACCATACAACAAATCATAGTTTACAACAATCGCCTAGTACACAGTCTAATAATAATTCCAAAATAAATACATTTGAATGTAAAGGTAATTTAAATAAATTTACAACAAATGGTCATGATTTATGTAATAATCCATTTGGTTCATTAATTAGTACACCAAAAATTAAACGTATCTATACAGCATTTTGGAATTTGGAACCACGTGAAAGTATCACTGTACACAAATTAACTTCATCTAAAACTACAACATTTACAGAATCAACAACTTCATCCTTGAATCATTATACAAATGGTTATAATTACTTGAATAATACTAATCAAAAACAAATTGATAAGTTGGAATTCCCAACGCATAATAATAATAATAATAATGATTTAACGCCAAGCACTCCACAGCTGGAACCTTTAATGGAAGATTCTATAAACGATAAAATAACAGATTATCAGATCTAGTCATAATATCAAATTAATTTAGAATATATTTTTATTTATTTACTTTTCAACTCATTACTTCGCCCCAATTTATTATTTTAAAAAAAAAAATTAAAATAAAATAAATAAAAAGATTATTCTCTTAGATCTGTATACATATGCATATTTTTTATGTACATAACAAAATGCATTTATTAACTCAATTAGACTTTTATTTCTGGTATAATATCCTGTTGCTGCTGCTGCTGCTGATGATGATGATGATGATCATGTTGATGATGATACAGATATTGATGAATGAAGTATAAGGGTAAGATTAAAGTATATATCTTAAGATTATATATGAAGGCTGAGAGTTTGAATGATAGACTATAACTAATTTCTGATTATATTTGGAAGGAAACCTTATATTGAAGCGAGACCACCATGAGAAACCTGGATGAACTGGACGGCTGTTCTGTCCTATTGTGGGACTCCTCAGCAGTGCGCATCCATGATCCCTCTTCACGAGATTCGAACCCAAGACCTATTAGTCTCGCGCGCGAGCGCTTAATCTCTAGACCATTGAGCCGGTTGGAATCCATCGGTGTTAATGTCTGACTTCAACCATTCCACAATTGACTCATGATCTCAACTATTAAATTACTATAATATCTGCAAAAACCCTTTCTGATATTAAAACCTTTTATTTCTAGAAATTTGTTTTCAAAGAGAAGTATTGAGAAAATGTCTATCAATTAGATACATATACTTAAGAAAAGAATTGTCAATTAGATTATCTGATAACTTTGTTAACAGACGGAGAAATTGATGATCAATTAATTACAGGATATTGTAGTCATACGTTAATTATAACCAAAGATATTTATGCCATAAACTGGAGGATATACTATCAAAGTGTTACATGCTAACAGAGTTCGTGCCTTGATTCTCTTTTAAAACCTTAATTGTACAATTAATTTTATCAATATTAAAAGTAAAATAAAAAACCTGTTTCAATATGCTATTAAAGTTCTGTTTAAAATATTAGCAAAAAGGTAATAAACTACTGAATAGTTAAAAGTTTTGCTAATAAATATATCGTTGCTTACACGTGTCCTATGTATGGTCATATATGTACTAATATACTAATTCACTTGGTATTGTTTGTTTGAATATTTCCATTGTTGCTTAGGACTGCAATTGATCAGTCTGTTATTGGTATATGTGCACAAGCAAGTGGCTATCAGAACTCAGTAGCTGAATGGGTAACCTGATGGTGTTTGAAGCGAAAGGTACTGGGTTCGAGTCTCAGAGTGAATATTAACTGTGAGATGCAGGTACATCTAGCTTGGACGAAACGCGCGTCCTGGATTCCATTGCTAACCACTATCCATTTTTGTTTATAATATACTAATGTTCACGAAACATGTGAAATCTCATATGGAACTTTGAACTATGTTAGTAAACTAAGTACAATCACTTCAAAAAACCTAATAAGTATATAATCAATATTTATGTTATCCTGACTGGTGTTTCAACAGTCTATCTTAATAGTTAAAATGAATTGAATAAGTATGTATCATTAACATCATTTCTATAATAGTCAAAAAAGCCATATTTGAAACACTAGATATTCTCTACTGTTAAAATGAGGTTGATTGATTTAAACGTTCAACGAAATAATATAATTGATATTTTAAACACAAGTTATCATAAATATGATTTGTTACTTTAAGTTTCTTGAAAATAATCCTGGTAAGTTTGTAGTAAACAAGAAAACGGGAGGAAACAATCGAATTATTTAAGCAGAAATTACAAACTATTTCACTAAAATCTAATAACCATAAAGTAAACAGTTAATTTGTAAAATAACAATCAATTGTCTCAATCTTAACTATTCCTTCTACAAATACTAATCCATCATCTCTGATTTCATTGTTCATGTATTTTCATACCGATCGCGCTTCGTTCTTATTCTTCCTTTATCGATCTTCTGCCAAAATACTATCTATGTGGATATAAGTAACTCACACCACAGGTTTAGTTTTTAAAGTGCCACATAAAGCTTAAAAACATATTTTTATTTATTAAAAAAGAAATATCAATGAACGACTCCAAATTCTATTTTTTTTATAAAGTAAATTTAGAGTTTTTTTGTTGTAAACCATAGTAATTTTAATATTTCATACAATCACTAGTAGTTAATCCTACTATTACATCGAATACTTATGTCTAATTCTATCTAGATATGGTAAAACCGATCGCTATTCATTCTTTAAACGTATTTTATTTTAGTCAGTCAAAAACATTTATATATTTATTATCAGAAGGGTTTTGTGGAGATTTAGTATTTATCATAGTTGAAAGCGTGAGTCAATTGAAGCTAGACCACCATGGAAAACCTGGAAATACTGGACGGCCGTTTCGTCCTATTATGGGACTCCTCAGCAGTGCGCATCCACGAACCCGCTCTCGCGAGAATGGTTGCTCAACTTCGTGGATCAGTTGAAGTTAGACATTAACACCGTTGGATGCCAGCTCAGTGGTCTATCGGTTAAGGGCTTTGGCTCGAGACTGGCAGGTCCTGGGTTCGAATCTCGCGAGAGCGGGTTCGTGGATGCGCACTGCTGAGGAGTCCCATAATAGGACGAAACGGCCGTCCAGTGTTTCCAGGTTTTCGATGGTGGTCTAGCTTCAATTGACTCACGCTTTCAACTATTTATATATTTCCAAAAAGATGAGTTTTTCTACTGGGAAAATAAAACATATGTGCCTAATGAACTGAAATGTATTTAAGAAAGATTTGCCAATAACCTTCTTTGAAAATAATATGACTGGAAAGATTAAAGGTTGATAAGCATCTATAAAGTATACATCTTACACTCATTTGTTTTAAATACATTTTAATTATGATTAATTTTTGTTCTGTCTTTTGAATCTATTATTTTATTAATTGAGCGCTTATACGTAATTGTCACTTGATTGCATCAGTAGTTTTTTTTGGCAACTAATTGTAAACTTACAAACATACATACAATAATCCTTGGCAATTTCATAATTAGTCGAAATAGAAATGGCATAATTTACTGTCTACAAATGTTTATGAAACTTGAATTTGTTTTAATTGATCATAAAAGTAGAAGAGAATAGTCATTTATTATTTTTGGTAATTAGAATGCAAGTGATTGATTATAAGATGGTGGTTGAAGGTGGTCAACAGGAAGCCCTGGACCCGGGTTTAGTGCTACTTGACACTCGTCAGCAAGGTGTACCTGTAATCTTGAAGGAAGGACTTGACAAGCATGACTATTAACACATCATTGACAACCATAAACCATATCACAAACAATCTCTTGTTAACTGTTGAAGGAAAATTTCTTGCTGATTTCTTAATCAACCATTTAAATAAAAATCCAAAATTAATATCTCATAAATCTGATCATTTAATATATTTCATCATTATAGGAAATTGAAAGTAATTACATGCCTTATAGATTATTTACAGAAGCATCATTGATAAACAAGGAGGATCGGATACAGATGTTAGGATGAGGATTGGCAAAACAAGGACCGCATTTCTACAATCGAAGAACATATGGAACTCAAAACAACTGTCAACTAATTTCAAAGTCAGAATCATCAATACGAACGTCACGACAGTCCTATTGTACGGAGTAGAAACGTGGAGAACTACTAGAACCATCGTCAAGAAGGTACAAGTATTCATAAACAGTTGTTTACGCAAAATACTCAACATTCAGTGGCCGGATACTATCAGCAACAGCGTTTTATGGGAGAGGATAAACCAGCTTTCAGCTGAAGAGGAAATTAGGAAAAGACATTGGAAGTGGATCGGAAATACATTGAGGAAATCACCAATGTGCATTACAAGGCAAGTCCCAACTTGGAATCCGGAAGAGAAGCGAAAAAGAGGAAGGCCGATGAACACATTACGTCAGGAAACAGAAGCAGATATGAAAAGGATGAATGTTAACTGGAACGAACTGGAAGGGATTGTCCAGGACAGTGTTGGATGGAGAATGTTGGTGGGCGACCTATGCTCCTCGACGAGGAGTAACAGGCGTAAGTAAGTAATTAAGTAATAGATTATTTACATAGAATTAAGTACCATATATTATGTGTTTTATGGTGATCATCAGCATCGTTTTGACGATTTACATTACCTTTTCAAGCAAGACACTTTTTAGATGAAAATTATTGACAGATTTAAAACTTAGTTCTTGGATTGCTGAATACTATTTTAAAATATATTCATCTTAAGTGACCGTAATACTTACAACTTGATTCACATATTTGAAAATAATTCATATGAACACTTAGATCTTCTTATCAGTTATAAGTGATTGTAAGACAGGAATTAAAATAAGCGTAATCTAGTTCGTAGTTAGTAATGCTAAAAAGAAACTTTATGTATGGTAATTTGAGATATTATGTTGTATATTGTGCCTAGAAATCTGCTTATTTATTGAACAGAAAGAAGTCTTTATAGTTAACTGATAATAGTCGGCACAGTGAAATTGCATTGTAAAAGCCAAACTATACTTTTCCTAAAGATAATAGTATATAATGCTGATAACTGCTAACTAAAATGATAAGTGAAGCTCAAGATCCCTAGCCGACTACGTTTAAGTCACTGTTAATTAATGTCACTATAGTTGAGAAGTAGAGAATGGTGCTCACTTTAAAGTTATTTATAATCATAGAATAACTGAACAATCATTTTAAAATCAGTTGTTTCGTACTTATTTAAAGCTTCTAAACTGTATGCAGTCGTGACTTTTCCGTGGTGAAGAAAGTAAAACTTTTCAGCTTTCGCATTGATTGTATTTTAGGGTCATATTAGTCAGAATCTAATGATAGATATTTTCAATTATGATAATGGATTTATTGTCGAGATTTTAAAAACTGTTATCTTATTCATTCAAATAACAACTATAAGCGAATAGTATTATTTTTAACTATATATTCATTAGCCTTCACTTTAATTTGCAGTCAGAGTTACATACATACATCATGAAGTAAGCCAGTCAAAATAATTTACTAGCCAATAATAAAAATGACGTAGATCGCATGACTAATGACAATAAGTCCCATAATAGGACGAAACGGCCGTCCAGTGTTTTTCAGGTTTTCCATGGTGGTCTAGCTTCAATTGACTCACGCTTTCAACTATGATAAATACTAAATCTCCACAAAACCCCTTCTGATAATTAATAAGTAAACTGTTAAAATTAATACTACTTTGAGAGGTGTACTGATAAGAATAATAACATTTTGAATAAATAAAGATGGATGGTGGCTAACAGTCAAATCCAGGATGCGCGTTTTGTCGTATTGGGAACTCGTCGGTTGGATGTACCTGCCCCCCCACAGTTGATATTCACTCCAGGACTCGGACCCAGCACCGTTCACTTAAAACACTATCGTGTTATTTACTTGGCTACTTAGTCCTGACAGCCGCTTCTTTTTATATTGGGGTG